AATAGAGATCGTTGAGAATATAAGACTAAGTGAAAATAGAGTTCCCCATGGAATTTATCAAAAACCTCATACTCCAAGAGTAGAATCACCTACTCAGTCAGATATGGATTTCCAATTATAATGATAGATTACTCCCCTGGTAGTAAGATGAGACAACTCATCAATGATGAGTTTCAACATGAGAGATACTCTCAATTTAGAAATTGGTTTTTAAAAAAAATTTCAAAACCTGAATTAGCCCAATTTAAAGATGACTATTACACTCAAATGAACCTTGAGCAGGATTTCGGTCCTTTTGTTAAATGGTTTGTTAATTACTTCATAAATAAAAAGCAAGAAGAAATTCTTCTGTTACAAAGACCTTGGGAAAACATTGGAGGAAAAATAATGGAATCTCCTTTTCCCCCTGAACAAACAATAAGTTTGAGTCAAAATACTGAAGCTACCCCTTACCTTAGCCTTCAGTTACAAAGAGTTGAACAAAATCAAGTTACTGTTAAGGAATTAAATTCAGTTATCAGGTCTCAAAATTATACCAATGCTTACCTTGTTTGCTTAGGAAAATAATTTATCCCCATGGAAAAAGATCTCTTATCCATAAAAGATCTTTTAGAAAAACAAATAGAGCGTCAAGATATCATTATTGACCACATAAATAAACCTAAAGACCAAATATCCACATCCACTATTTCGGATGTTCCTATAGTGCAACCTCCTGTTTCCATAGAAGGATTTAAAATGGAAACTAACAGAGAAGAATTTGTTCGTATTTTAGAACAAAAACTAAAAGGACTTAATATCACTGTCATGTCCCATGAAGATTATTCTGAGGATAATAATGACAACCATATTGACCAGCTTGCTGATATGTTTGCTAATTTAGACATTAGTAACCTTGATATTAATACTAATAGTATTAATAATACTAATAGTATAAATCTTGTTTATTCCCCAAGGCCTATAGAAAAGTATTATTACAAGCGTCCCTCACCGCAAGATTTGCTTTTTGAGGAATCAGAACCTTTCCAGAATTCTTATTCAAGAAAAGCCATTTATGAATGGAATGTTGATGGTCTTAATGACAAACAAATTATATATACTATCCATAGGATGATCATGTACTCTACTGTTTGCAAGCAACATGGAAATTCTGATGCTTCAATAGCATCCTTTATAACAACAGGATTTGTTGGCCAACTTAGAGGCTGGTGGGATAATTATCTCACTGAATCTCAAAAATTAGAGATTCTTAATCATAAAAAAATTGTTAAGAGCGAACCAAGAACTAGTACGAGCACTATTGTGGCTACAACCACCACAGGAGAAGAAGATGCAGTGTATACACTGTGTGTTTCCATCTTACAACATTTTGTAGGACCTAATGTCCCCATTGGAGAAAAAATCCAGACACTTCTCCAAAACCTTAGGTGTCCTTCTCTCACCCACTTTAGATGGTATAAGGATACTTTTATTTCAAGAGTTTATCAATTAAAAAATACCAATTCTTTGCACTGGAAAGCAAAATTTATTGATGGATTACCTCATTTCTTTTATGAGAAAGTTAGACAATCCTTAAGACAGAAAAATGATGGGATAAATATAAATTATTCAGATCTTACTTATGGTCATATAATTAGCTCTTGTGTTAATGAAGGATTAACTTTATGTAATGACATAAAGCTTAGAAATCAACTCAAAAAGCAAAAGCTCTCTGAAAAACACCAAATTGGTGAATTTTGTGAGCAATTTGCTTTTGATCTTGGAAAATCTCTAGATAATAAAAAGAAAAAAGGAAAAATTTTCCGCAATAAACCTTATAGGGATAAGCCAAAAAATTCTTATAAAAATTCTTATAAGAATAAGAAAAGGGGTCACTACAATAAGAGTAGACCTAAAGAAAAATCTTTTGACCCTAAAGGTAAAAGAAAAGCCAAAAAGCTTGACATAACATGTCATAAATGTGGCAAACCTGGCCATTATGCCAACCAATGTTGGACTAAAAAAGCTCTTAATGAGATAGAAGATGAACAATTACGTTCTCAATTAGAGGAAGTTTTACTTCTCAAATCTGATTCTGAAGAATACTCTTCTGAAGAAGATATTAATATAATTTATGAATCTTCTTCTGATTACTCATCTGAATCTTCTAACAATAATAATTGTCAATGTAATCAATTAGATTACTGGAAATCAATAGTGGATATGAATGGGTTAAATGTTTTAACCTCAGAATAGGATGGAGCTATAAAGGCTATAGAGTCCATTTCTGATAAAAATCTTAAAAGAAAAATGCTTGAGGTTCTAATCCAAGAAAACTCTAAAAGAGAATCTCCTATTATTACAGAAACACCTTACCAATTAAGTGAGGTTTTGTCTAGATTTAGACAGTCTAACATTCGTGAAACTCCTGTTTCTATTATGGATTTAAATAGAGAAATAAATCTCTTAAAAAATGAGATAGCTCAAATTAGAAAAGAAAACTATGGTTTATCTCAAAGGCTCACTTTTTAGAGTCCAATAATTCAAGGGTTGAAGAAATAGCTTCAACTAGTAATCCTTCACCTAGTGATGATTTTCTTTCCCTCATTGATAGAGTGACCTCCCAAAAATGGTTTGTTAGAATAACTTTAGTGAATAATAGAAATTTCATATTAGAAAATGAAGTTGCCCTTATTGATAGTGGCACTGATTTAAACTGCCTTCAAGAGGGAATTATTCCCACTAAGTATTTTGATAAAACTACTCAATCTCTTACACAAGCTGGAGGAGATAAACTCACGGTTAATTATAAACTGTCTAATGCTTATGTTTGTAACAAAGATATTTGTTTACCCACTCACTTTATTCTTGTCAAAAACTTAACTCATAGATATATATTAGGAACTCCCTTTCTGCATAAAATTATGCCTCTAATTAATGTTGATCAAAAGGGAATTACCTCCATTATTAATAATAAAAGAATTACTTTTGAATTTATTACTGATCCTCATACTAGGATGATTAATGAAGTTAAAGATATTCTTCTTAAAAAAGAAAAACAAATTTGTTTTCTTAAAGAAGAAGTGGGTTTATTAAACATCACTTCTCAACTTAAAAATCCTGAAATTCAAAATCAAATTAAATTAATTGATCAACAGTTTAGAGAAGAAATATGCAATGATTTACCTAATGCCTTTTGGGATAGAAAGAAACATGTTATTTCCTTACCTTATCTTGATGACTTTAATGATAGTCAAATTCCCACTAAAGCTAGGCCTGCTCAAATGAATCATGAGTATTTGGATTTATGCAAAAAAGAGATAGAATCTCTTTTGGAGTTGCACAGCCTTTTATGTCAATAATGCTGCAGAAAAGGAACGTGGAGTTCCTAGACTCGTTATTAATTACAAACCACTTAATAAAGTGTTAAAATGGATTAGATATCTTATTCCTAATAAAAAAGATCTTTTAGATAGATTAAACAATGCTTTAATCTTCTCTAAGTTTGATATGAAATCTGGTTATTGGCAAATTCAGATTAATGAATCTGATAAGTATAAAACAGCCTTTACTGTACCTTTTGGACATTATGAATGGAATATCCTTCCTTTTGGCCTTAAAAATGCCCCTTCTGAATTTCAAAATATTATGAATGATATTTTTAATCCTTATACGGAATTTATAATTGTTTATATTAATGATGTTTTAGTTTTTTCAAAAACTATAGATCAACATATGAAACATTTGAAAATATTCAAATGATTAATTAAGCATAATGGATTAGTAATATCTGGTCCTAAGATGAAACTTTTTCAAACAAAGGTTAGATTTTTAGGACATGAAATTGACCAAGGAACTATAATTCCTATACAAAGAAGTATTGAATTTGCTTCTAAATTCCTCTAATATTATTACAGATAAGAAACAATTACAAAGGTTTCTTGGTAGCCTTAATTACATAGCAGATTATTATGAAAATCTAGCTAAAGATACGACAATATTACATGCTAGGCTTAAAAAGAATCCTGACCCTTGGACTGAAAAACATTCTCAAGCACTCCAAAGAATTAAAAATAAGGTGAAATGTTTGCCTTGTCTATCTCTTGCTAATCCTAAGTATTTCAAAATTGTTGAAACTGATGCTTCAGACTTAGGTTATGGAGGAATCCTTAAAAAAATAATACCTGAAACCTCAAAAGAAGTTTTGGTTAGATTTACTTCTGGAAAATGGAATCCAACACAAGCAAAATATTCAACTATCAAGAAAGAGATGCTTTCTATTATAAAATGCATTTCAAAATTTCAAGATGATCTTCTTAATAAAAAAATTTTATTAAAAATTGATTGTAGCTCAGCTAAATCAATTATTGAAAAAGATGTTAAAATTCTTGTTGCTAAGCAAATTTTTGCTAGTTGGCAATCACAATTATCTATGTTTGAATTTGATATTCAACACATTAAAGGTGAAAATAATTCACTTGCTGATTATTTAACTCGTGAATTTTTGCAGGGAAAAAATGATGACCCCATATAGGGGTAGAGGCCGCGGTTATGGCCGTGGTGGGAGAAGGAGTAACAATATGTTACCCCAGCCAGAATCAAACATTCCTCTAATAGGGGATTGGACTACTGTCTACAAGGGTAGAAAAATGCAGCAATTACCTGCATCTTCAGCAAAAAGGGAAGATATTGCTTCCTCTTCCTCTAATAAAACTACATCCTACAAGGAAGTTGCGGTTAATAACCCACCTCAAGAACAAATGGATTATTTTGAAAATCCAGTAACTGACAAAAACATGTATATTGATGATGAAGATATAAAGATAAATCCAAATGATGGATGGTCTATCAAAACTAGATACCTCGAATCAAGAGGATATCCAGGTCTTCATGGAAAATCTAGGCCCAACCTAAAAATTCTCCTGACTGTTACCGAATCGGTAATAATTACTCACCTTTACCAAAACAATAATCCTGAAAGTTTTATAAACTTCAGTAAATGTCACATTAACAAAATTTTGTTACCAAGAGAATGGGGTCTCAACCCAAATGCTGAAAAGGCAATAAGCATTTGGGTTGAGACCCCATTCTCTTGGTAACAAAATTTTGTTAATGTGACATTTACTGAAGTTTATAAAACTTTCAGGATTATTGTTTTGGTAATGGTGAGTAATTGTTACCGATTCGGTAACAGTCAGGAGAATTTCTAGGTTGGGCCTAGATTTTCCATGAAGACCTGGATATCCTCTTGATTCGAGGTATCTAGTTTTGATAGACCATCCATCATTTGGATTTATCTTTATATCTTCATCATCAATATACATGATTTTCTCAGTTACTGGATTTTCAAAATAATCCATTTGTTCTTGAGGTGGGTTATTAACCGCAACTTCCTTGTAGGATGTAGTTTTATTAGAGGAAGAGGAAGCAATATCTTCCCTTTTTGCTGAAGATGCAGGTAATTGCTGCATTTTTCTACCCTTGTAGACAGTAGTCCAATCCCCTATTAGAGGAATGTTTGATTCTGGTTGGGGTAACATATTGTTACTCCCTCTCCCACCACGGCCATAACCGCGGCCTCTACCCCTATATGGGGTCATCATTTTTTCCCTGCAAAAATTCACGAGTTAAATAATCAGCAAGTGAATTATTTTCACCTTTAATGTGTTGAATATCAAATTCAAACATAGATAATTGCGATTTCCAACTAGCAAAAATTTGCTTAGCAACAAGAATTTTAACATCTTTTTCAATAATTGATTTAGCTGAGATACAATCAATTTTTAATAAAATTTTTTTATTCAGAAGATCATCTTGAAATTTTGAAATGCTTTTAATAATAGAAAGCATCTCTTTCTTGATAGTTGAATATTTTGCTTGTGTTGTATTCCATTTTCCAGAAGTAAATCTAACCAAAACTTCTTTTGAGGTTTCAAGTATTATTTGTTTAAGGATTCCTCCATAACCTAAGTCTGAAGCATCAATTTCAACAATTTTGAAATACTTAGGATTAGCAAGAGATAGACAAGGCAAACATTTCACCTTATTTTTAATTCTTTGGACTGCTTGGGAATGTTTTTCAGTCCAAGGGTCAGGATTCTTTTTAAGCCTAGCATGTAATATTGCCGTATCTTTAGCTAGATTTTCATAATAATCTGCTATGTAATTAAGGCTACCAAGAAACCTTTGTAATTGTTTCTTATCTGTAATAATATTAGAGGAATTTAGAAGCAAATTCAATACTTCTTTGTATAGGAATTATAGTTCCTTGGTCAATTTCATGTCCTAAAAATCTAACCTTTGTTTGAAAAAGTTTCATCTTAGGACCAGATATTACTAATCCATTATGCTTAATTAATCCTTTGAATATTTTCAAATGTTTCATATGTTGATCTATAGTTTTTGAAAAAACTAAAACACCATCAATATAAACAATTATAAATTCCGTATAAGGATTAAAAATATCATTCATAATATTTTGAAATTCAGAAGGGGCATTTTTAAGGCCAAAAGGAAGGACATTCCATTCATAATGTCCAAAAGGTACGGTAAAGGTTGTTTTATACTTATCAGATTCATTAATATGAATTTGCCAATAACTAGATTTCATATCAAACTTAGAGAAGATTAAAGCATTGTTTAATCTATCTAAAAGATCTTTTTTATTAGGAATAGGATATCTAATCCATTTTAACACTTTATTAAGTGGGTTATAATTAATAACGAGTCTAGGAACTCCACATTCCTTTTCTGCAGCATTATTGACATAAAAGGCTGTGCAACTGCAAGGAGATTTGGATTTTCTTATTAATTTTTTCTCCAAAAGAGATTCTATCTCTTTTTTGCATAAATGCAAATACTCATGATTCATTTGAGCAGGCCTAGCTTTAGTGGGAATTTGACTTTCATTAAAGTCATCAAGATAAGGTAAGGAAATAACATGTTTCTTTCTATCCCAAAAGGCATTAGGTAAATCATTGCATATTTCTTCTCTAAAGTGTTGATCAATTAATTTAATTTGATTTTGAATTTCAGGATTTTTAAGTTGAGAAGTGATGTTTAATAAACCCACTTCTTCTTTAAGAAAACAAATTTGTTTTTCTTTTTTAAGAAGAATATCTTTAACTTCATTAATCATCCTAGTATGAGGATCAATAATAAATTCAAAAGTAATTCTTTTATTATTAATAATGGAGGTAATTCCCTTTTGATCAACATTAATTAGAGGCATAATTTTATGCAGAAAGGGAGTTCCTAATATAATTCTATGAGTTAAGTTTTTCATAAGAATAAAGTGAGTGGGTAAACAAATATCTTTGTTACAAACATAAGCATTAGACAGTTTATAATTAACCGTGAGTTTATCTCCTCCAGCCTGTGTAAGAGATTGAGTAGTTTTATCAAAATACTTAGTGGGAATAATTCCCTCTTGAAGGCAGTTTAAATCAGCGCCACTATCAATAAGGGCAACTTCATTTTCTAATATGAAATTTCTATTAATCACTAAAGTTATTCTAACAAACCATTTTTGGGAGGTCACTCTATCAATGAGGGAAAGGAAATCATCACTAGGTGAAGGATTACTAGTTGAAGCTATTTCTTCAACCCTTGAATTATTAGACTCTAAAAAAGTGAGCCTTTGAGATAAACCATGGTTTTCTTTTTTAATTTGAGCTATCTCATTTTTTAAGAGATTTATTTCTCTATTTAAATCCATAATAGAAACAGGAGTTTCACGAATGTTAGACAGTCTAAATCTAGACAAAACCTCACTTAATTGGTAAGGTGCTTCTCTGTAATAATAGGAGATTCTCTTTTAGAGTTTTCTTGGATTAGAACCTCAAGCATTTTTCTTTTAAGATTTTTATCAGAAATGGACTCTATAGCCTTTATAGCTCCATCCTGTTCTGAGGTTAAAACATTTAACCCATTCATATCCACTATTGATTTCCAGTAATCTAATTGATTACATTGACAATTATTATTGTTAGAAGATTCAGATGAGTAATCAGAAGAAGATTCATAAATTATATTAATATCTTCTTTAGAAGAGTATTCTTCAGAATCAGATTTGAGAAGTAAAACTTCCTCTAATTGAGAACGTAATTGTTCATCTTCTATCTCATTAAGAGCTTTTTTAGTCCAACATTGGTTGGCATAATGGCCAGGTTTGCCACATTTATGACATGTTATGTCAAGCTTTTTGGCTTTTCTTTTACCTTTAGGGTCAAAAGATTTTTCTTTAGGTCTACTCTTATTGTAGTGACCCCTTTTCTTATTCTTATAAGAATTTTTATAAGAATTTTTTGGCTTATCCCTATAAGGTTTATTGTGGAAAATTTTTCCTTTTTTCTTTTTATTATCTAGAGATTTTCCAAGATCAAAAGCAAATTGCTCACAAAATTCACCAATTTGGTGTTTTTCAGAGAGCTTTTGCTTTTTTGAGTTGATTTCTAAGCTTTATGTCATTACATAAAGTTAATCCTTCATTAACATAAGTGCTAATTATATGACCATAACTAAGATCTGAATAATTTATATTTATCCCATCATTTTTCTGTCTTAAGGATTGTCTAACTTTCTCATAAAAGAAATGAGGTAATCCATCAATAAATTTTGCTTTCCAGTGCAAAGAATTGGGATTGTTTAATTGATAAACTCTTGAAAGAAAAGTATCCTTTATACCATCTAAAGTGGGTGAGAGAAGGACACCTAAGGTTTTGGAGAAGTGTCTGGATTTTTTCTCCAATGGGGACATTGGGTCCTACAAAATGTTGTAAGATGGAGAGACATAGTGTATACACTACATCTTCTTCTCCTATGGTGGTTGTAGCCACAATAGTGCTCGTACTAGTTCTTGGTTCGCTTCTTAACAATTTTTTTATGATTAAGAATCTCTAATTTTTGAGATTCAGTGAGATAATGATCCCACCAGCCTCTAAGTTGGCCAACAAATCCTGTTGTTATAAAGGATGCTATTGAAGCATCAGAATTTCCATGTTGCTTGCAAACAGTAGAGTACATGATCATCCTATGGATAGTATCTATAATTTTTTTGTCATTAAGACCATCAACATTCCATTCATAAATGGCTTTTCTTGAATAAGAATTCTGGAAAGGTTCTGATTCCTCAAAAAGCAAATCTTGCGGTGAGGGACGCTTGTAATAATACTTTTCTATAGGCCTTGGGGAATAAATAGGATTTATACTATTAGTATTATTAATACTATTAGTATTAATATCAAGGTTACTAATGTCTAAATTAGCAAACATATCAGCAAGCTGGTCAATATGGTTGTCATTATTATCCTCAGAATAATCTTCATGGGACATGACAGTGATATTAAGTCCTTTTAGTTTTTGTTCTAAAATACGAACAAATTCTTCTCCGTTAGTTTCCATTTTAAATCCTTCTATGGAAACAGGAGGTTGCACTATAGGAACATCCGAAATAGTGGATGTGGATATTTGGTCTTTAGGTTTATTTATGTGGTCAATAATGATATCTTGACGCTCTATTTGTTTTTCTAAAAGATCTTTTATGGATAAGAGATCTTTTTCCATGGAGATAAATTATTCTCCTAAGAAAACAAGGTAAGCATTGGTATAATTTTGAGACCTGATAACTGAATTTAATTCCTTAAGAGTAACTTGATTTTGTTCAACTCTTTGTAACGGAAGGCTAAGGTAAGGGGTAGCTTCAGTATTTTGACTCAAACTTATTGTTTGTTCAGGGGAAAAGGAGATTCCATTATTTCTCCTCTAATGTTTTCCCAAGGTCTTTGTAACACAAGAATTTCTTCTTGCTTTTTATTTATGAAGTAATTAACAAACCATTTAACAAAAGGAACGAAATCCTGCTCAAGGTTCATTTGAGTGTAATACTCATCTTTAAATTGGGCTAATTCAGGTTTTGAATTTTTTTTTAAAAACCAATTTCTAAATTGAGAGTATCTCTCATGTTGAAACTCATCATTGATGAGTTGTCTCATCTTACTACCAGGGGAGTAATCTATCATTGTAATTGGAAATCCATATCTGACTGAGTAGGTGATTCTACTCTTGGAGTATGAGGTTTTTGATAAATTCCATGGGGAACTCTATTTTCGCTTAGTCTTATATTCTCAACGACCTCTATTTCTTCTCTTATTTGAGAAGTAGAAGGTCTAGGTAATTGGCTAGGAGCTGTGTAAAATTCACTAACTGAGTAAACTGGTCCATGACACAGACTTGTCTCAACCATAACAGCTAAAGATTGTTTGAAATCTTTACATCTACCATCTCTAACATAAGCCATTATGCTAGAATTTAAACCCAATAATGTTAAAGGTTTTAAAGCAATTTGAACCAATCCAATATGGATAAAATTAGAGTTTTTAAAAGGTTTCAAATCTTTTTTAGTTAACAGTTTTATTGTTTGAGTTTCTTTAGAAATTTGAATCGTTTGCTCTAAAGTTTTAACAGCAAAACGAGCAAAAACATCTATCTTACCAAATCTATAAATTGATTAGAAGGAACTGAGGGTATAACCCATCTGTTGAGTTTATCCATATTTTTTGGATATTCAATTAATTCTTCATTTTTTATTAAATTATTTTGATGA